AAAGATAATCGGAACATCATAAAACCATCAAATCGGTAATTTGAAAAAATAAAAAAAAAATTATGGTATTGAGAACTATGATTTAACTAGTAAAAAACTGTATCATGTATTTAGAAATATAAAAAAAAAATTGTAAAAAAAATCATACCATCTTCACTAAACTGTCATCGAAATAGGGCCTTAGTAAATTTTTTGTAACAAAACCCTCATCTCTTTTTTCACATAAACAAAATAGTATAGAATTAATTAAATACTTAATTTTTAAGGGCTGAAAACTGACAATCGATCTAAGATAGATAAATTAAAATGTACTGATTTATAAGCATATATATATATATCTTTCTGTAATACCCATGTCCGTAATTAATTTTGGCATTTATAAAAATAATTAAAAAATATTTTTAAATTATTTTAATTTTATTATATTAAATTATTTGAGAAAAATAGGTTAGAGACGTAATTGAAAACTATTATGGGAAAAAAGGTAAAAATTTGAGTTTGGGAGGTATTTTTAAAAAAAAAATTAGAAACAGCAAGTTAAAATATAAAAAGAAAAAATTTGGTCATGTGGGACAGCCCAGTCAGTAGTCTCGATGAACTAGAGTACGCCGCGTGACAAAGCACGCTGGCGTTGGTGCCGCGCAGGAGGCCACACATGCGATCTGCGTGCCCAGCAATCCGACGACCCAGATTCGATATCGCATGCATGAACAGCTCAAATGTGTTTCCTTCTTAGACGCGATTGGACGGACGAGATCAATCGCAATAAACGACCTAAATTCGCCCACACAATCGGTTTAAACATGCAACAATCGGACGACTCTCTTTGCTTCATGTCCACGCGAATGGATGACCTAGATCAATGTGGGGTGAATATATAAACATTACATCACATGGGAACCTCAACCTTAGCCGACAACCTCCGTTGAAAAGAACAACCAGATATTAGAGAAGAAATTGCCAACTGCCGCAACACCGGAGCCACCACCGACTGCCAAAAAAGGTAAAATTTCTTCGTATTCGCTCAGAATTCGATTCCGAACCTCTTTGTGGCCATATCAGAGCAAGAGGGATGGCGGGTGAAACAGAAATCGTGGACAAAATTCGGTAGAGTTGCTGCTATTGAAACCCAAAACCTTCTTCGATGAGCCACTTTTCGTCCCGTTTCATATAATTTTTTGACCATTGTGTTATTGTCCTTTTATGTGCAGGTTAGCCGAAGAAGAAACCTCAGCTGTGAATGAGAACTGGTAGAGTCGCTGCACCCAGAGACCCTCCCCCCTTGCTGGTAGGTTCGATTTTTCTATGATTTTCGACCAACCAAGACCTCCTAATGTATTTTTCTGTAGGGGTACGTGTAAAATCGATAAAAATCGGTCAAACTGAGGCAAATAATTGCCATGGGCGGTGGAGCCGACACTGGAGCACGGCGACACCACAGTGCTGGAACCCTAAAAGTGACCGAAAAAGGGTTTTTGACACCCATTTTGGATTTTTTTTGTTGATATTTTTAAGTATGTATGAATATTTTGGATTCCCATATGAAAAATTCAGGAAACTTAGGACCCGTTGGTAGGCGTAGTTGACAGTTCGATATTTCGAAATACTAATCTGGGTAAGGATCACTCACTCTATTCTCAATTACAATAAATTGAGAATTAATAATCGATAATTGTATGTTTTATGAAAAATTAGAAAAATCGTAAAAATATTACATTTTACTAGTGGAGACGGAACCGGTTAATTCATATTTGTTCTGATTTCCTGTTTATTTTTCTGTACTCCCTAAATTGCTTACTATTATACTGTACATGTTTACATTGATAGTTTTTATAATTTTTTCGATTATATGATTCATTTGATCCATTCCTGCATGATTTATCTGGTTATCTAGTTACTCGGTTATTGGTTATGATATATTAAATCACTTACTTAAATACCGTTTAGATTTATAAGTGAATATGATATGAGACGTTGATATGTGATTGGTGTTTGTTTTGTTGATGGAGATCTTTATGTGAAAGGCTTACTGGGTATCTTGAAAAATGGCGGACGGGTCCAGAACATAAGAAACCATACTGTGAACGTTATATCAGTCAGACGGGGCTGAGAATTCTCATACCATAAGAGTTTGAGAGATATGGTTCACCATCATACCAGACGATGTATCAAGGTAATAGAATATTTAGCGTGCATTACCAAATGGGGTATGAAGACGACTAATTAATTAATAAAATTGGGTATTTAGTTCACGCATAATGAAACATCCTTATGGATTCACAGGAGTACCAGTAAGCAGTTAAAAAAAAAAGGAAGAATTGTAATCCTATGAATGAAATTAAAATGTCATTTAGTTACTTGTTTTCGTAGGTTTATTTTGGAAAAAAATGTAATGGTATATATCAAATAAAAAGTTTTGAAGTTAAATGTGTTTACTTAAAGTAATGGCTTCATTAATTGTTTTCTGATTTTACCAATCTTTATTTTTCTGTATTTGTGATTAATGTGATATTTTTACTGAATTAGTATAACTCACCATTTCATTAATCATTTCAGATCAAGAAGACCTTGATTTAGATCCAGATTAGTAAGATAATTGTGGGTAGTTCACAACCCGAACTCTCTTCAAGTATTAGTGAAAATTGTCCTAAAATACTTATTTATTTATTTATTTTAATTACCGTTTGTCTTTTAAAAAAGATATTTCTATATCTCTATTGAACATTTTAAATTATTATGTAAAAAAATGTAAATTTTAACTTTATTATCCGCTTTGACATTTAAATTACATCTTTAAACATTCAATATAACATATATGTATGTATATATATATATGAGTCTGCATTAATCAGTCCCAGAAAGTGAGGAAGGTGGGTGCTGTGGGTCTTGGTTTCTAGATATCTCTCAACTTCTTTTTAATTATTTTGATGTGCTACAAACTAAGAGAAAACAAACATCTTCATTCAATATTGAGAGATTGATTTCGCCTTTGAAATTAAAGAAGGGGACCCCCATTGGCCTCCTCCTCTGGTTAATTGTATACAAATAAATAAACCCATATAATATTTATATCTCTGTATATATATATATATGTGTGTGTGTGTGTGTCTCCATATAATAATATAAAATATCAATTGAAAATGAACGGTTTGAAGTTTCCAACCACAAATGCTTAAAGAGTTCAATAGATTCTTAGGCCACCTGTGACAATGTTAGTAGATAAATACAATTTCAGGAATCTCTATCACCCACAAAAAAAAACAAAAATAACTTTGATGTCTTTTCATTGTTTATTACAATAATTTCAAGCTTCTCAATTTGTACTACTTTTTGAGTATTTTTTTTTTAAATTTTTTTTGGGTGAAAATAATTTTTAATTATTTACAGGATCCATGATTAATCATATAATTGATGTTAATCATATAGAGTGATTTAATTGTAATCTTTTTAGTAGTTTAAGGTTTTGTTTCAAATAAATTCGTAATTTATAATCATTTAATTAAAAAAAAATAAACTATTATATTTCGAAATATAAAAATTACACATAACTCTAATAACATCTGAGAGAAAACATTCAAAAATGTTAAAAATTAAAAATTATTCTTCGTTGTCAGAAAAATAAACATCTTATCTTATTATTTATGTATTGAAGTTAATCATAATTTTTTAAAGAGTGTTAATTAATGGAAGTTAAATATATATTTAAAAATTATAAAAAATTTACTAAATTAATTAGCACAACCAAATTAAGACCCTTAATCTAATAAATGGAGAAATTTAACTTTATGAGATTTTTAATTAATAATAATTAACTTTTGCTTTTAAAACAGAATCCGAGATTAAGACATTTTATCTTAATCCTCATCATATTATGAAAACTTTCTTTAAAAGAAAAAAAAAAAAAGAATATTGATGTCACGTTGCACCCATTGTAGTGAATATAACTAGATCATTCTTGGGATCTTATTTTATTTTAAAAAATAAAAAAACAAATAACTATGGTTACAATATATGTATATATATATATATATACACATATTATTCTGTATGTATGATTTATTTTAGGGAAGATATATATATATGCTCTAAATTTACTATAAAAATTAAAAAAAATAATTGTCATTATTTTTAGCTCACCTTCTAAAATTTTACTTCAATATACAATCAATTTAGTAAAATTATTATACCAAATTTGGTCGTAAATAGACAGAAGTAAGTTTATATATATTGAGTTTTGATTTTATAGAATGTAATATAAATAGAATAAGAATTTAAATTAAAAAAAAAATTGTTGTAGTTCTAACTCAATTCTATATCCAATTTAGTTTAGATTCTTTTGTTATTTATTTATTGTCATGCGAAAATAAAAAATTATAATTATAAAATGAAGATATATATAAAAATTCATTTAACTATATAAATTATAATAATTATTTAAGATTTTTGATATATATATAAATAATTAAAATTTAAAATTAAATAGAAGCACAATTAAATTTTAAAAAATAATATAAAAAATCTATTGCTTACATTGATCGAAGAATATTGACCATGTGTAAAGTTCTCTCCTAGTTAATGGGGTATCTTCTTCCTCTTCCTTATGCGTGAAGTATTGAATAAGAATTGCTTTACATATATATGTACATATATACATATAGATATATATATATATATATGTACATTTTTCCCAATTCATTGGTGGGGAAGGAATCTCAATATATGTACATAACATTCCACGTATTGAAATTTTATAGTAAAAATCATGCAAAGGAAGACAAGTCTAATTAGCCAATTTTATATCAATCTTTTCTCTCCTTTCATGCCGGGCCTAAAATTAAATTAGTCAAGTTTAACTTTTTCTATTATCGTCTTAATATGATTTTTTTTTTCTTGATTAACCATGTCTAATATGTAATTATTGTATTTGGACTTTTTATTATCATTAAACTATAATCTAAACACTGTGTAAAAATAGATTAAGAAAAAAAAAAAAACACTTTATTAATGCAATTAAGAGCTGGTTTAACCATATATATACAAGATGAGAAGTAGAGTAACATATTATATGGCGGCAAACATCTATACTAACTTAACTTCATTAATCTAATTATTAATTATACATATTAAACCATGATTAATTGTCTCTGAGCTTCGATCCTCAACTCTTCCTTCATTTTTCTAATGAACTCATCAAATTTCTTGTTCAGTTCCTCTGTACTCAACTTCCCATTTCCTTCTACGTCCAATCGTACTTCTTCATCATCATCTAAGACTCCATTGTCGTCGTCGTCTTCTTCTTCTTCTTCTTCTTCTTCTCGTCTTATCAACAAAGTCTCACTTTCCCCTTTTCCTACTCCTTTATCTTCCATAATGATCTTCTCAGTTTCTCCTCCTTTTTCTTCTGCAACTGGAACTTCATCTTCTATGGCTGCAGCAACATCATCTTCAACCTCCTCTCCAGCATCAGTTTCCTTCTCCATTATTGTTACTGATAATTTGAACTGTTCGCGAACATCTTCATAGTTGTTGATAATCATCAAGGACTGATCATCATCATAGCCAAGAAGATTATTATTATTATTTTGCCTCGATGGTGATGAAGAAGAGGAACTGGAGGTGATTAAGCCTGAGAATTTGGCAACAAAAACCACGAGTCCATTGCAGAGAAGGAACATGAAGTTCTTGTCAATGGCGTGGGAGAAGAAGTTGCAGGAATGGAGGAAGGAGAGGAAGTTAGATTTCTGGGAGAAGAAGAGAGAAAAAACAGAGACTGAGAGAAGAAGTAACTTAGTGAGTTTCTTTAACAACTGGGATTTTATGAAGAAGTTGCCTCGAGCTTTGCTGGTGCTCAGAGCATTGCTGCTGTTTTCATCCATATTTCTTCTTCTTCTTCTTCTTTTTAATCCTCTTAAATGGTTTCTCTGCAAATAACGTTTTAGCTTCTCTAATGGTGTCTGTAAATAGTGTCGGAGACGTGGGGAGCGGAGAGAGGTTGAAGAAGAAATGGTTTGTAAGAGGTTGGTGAGTCCAAAATGGCCATGAAGATTTCGCTTATAAAGGAAATGTGATGGAAGTAAATTTCCTAAAAAGCCCTTGACTTTAGAAGTCGATAGCTAAAAAATTATGTATTAACCCTCAAGCTAAATACCTTTTTTCATACGTATATATAACCATATTATATTTAATGATTATGATTAAGAAAAATAAAGTCATTGGCATGAAAACCATGAAGGGCAAAAAACAAACCACAGAACAAAAATATATCCTCCAAAATAATTTACTAAGTAATTACTAAACTAAATAAAGTTGAGTGATCATGTCAAGCTTGGCTTGGCCACATTGAAGAAGAAGGTATCTTCCCTACATTCACTACTTCAAACTTTCTCTCTGTCTATCTTTTAGGTAAAGGGAGAGTTATGTTCTTGTTTACCCAATTTTAGAACTTGACCACCCTCCATGCTACATAATTTTCTATCACTTGTATTAGGTCTTATATAATTTTATTTATTATTTTTCAAATACCAAATATACAATGATTTGTATATATATATATATATATATTTGGATAATTTTTTTTAACATCATATAATTACGGGTCAAAATCTAATATGGTATCAGAATTAATCTTTGTTTTCTATTTCATGTTTTAATAATATTTATATTTATTAATTACTTTATACGTCTTGTTAAAGATGTAATTTTATTATATGTTGAATACTTTGTTAAGTAATATTCTAAATTTAGGTTAGAATCAGAAAATTTAAATCAAGACTTGTTAAATTATTGAGGTTGAGAATTGTGGTGGTATTGTTGGGACCAAAGTAAAGAAGTAGATTTATTCCCAATAACAAAATATTATACCTAATAGATATACATGTTGTAACGGCCCCGGAAAATATTAAAAAGAAATGAGTATTTAAATATATCGAATGCGGAAGCGAGATCAAAATTTCAGTTAACATCCCTTACACGAAAAACCAAAAACGTACTTAAAATATAAAAGGTTAAACTAACTAAGAAAGAAAACTCGAAAATAAACTATGCGTATGACTACAGAGTCTCTAGGCATCCCCTTCGTCGTCCTCCTGCGGAACGGGCTCGGGAACCATGTCTTCCTGATCTGAAATGGTTAATTAAGGAGTGAGCTACACTAGCCCAGTAAGAACATCACGATATCTCACCGTCACGGAGATAAAGGTGGGTAGAAAACCACAAAAAGACCAATGGAGCATAATTTACAATAAACTCGTTTATTAACATGAAAACCTTTACCATCCACTTACCTCGGTGGAATTTATGAAAACAATATAAGAAAAATAATAACATTATCACAATCATGGAATAATATAAGCTGTAAAACATAGCACTTATCACGCCTTTTGTAATTCAATCATTATACAACATATCCTTTTCTCATTTACCAGCCTACTAGTATCCGTGGGGGTCCATAGGGGTTCCGCTACCCGTTAATCTTTAACATTCATAATCAGTTTCCAGGGCCGTCCCCATACCCCGTCCGGTATGGGCGCCAAAACCATGAACCTCAATACCCCGTCCGGTATGAGGGTGAAACGGGCCGTCCCCATACTCCGTCCGGTATGGGCGCCAAAACCATAAGATCTCCATACCCCGTCCGGCATGTGAGACCACAATCCCGGTAGGGTTCTCTACGGACCCGGTCCGTCCACCATCTCCCAGGATATCTAGTCAGGCTAACCCCATCATACAATTATCAGTCTACACAATCCTTCATTTTCCTTTTCCTCAATAAGCATCATCAATTCACATACAAACAAGCAAACAGTAGTTCATGCCAAACAGACAACATACAGTATCGGTTTTTCAGTCATTCAACCCATGATTAATAAAAACGTAGTAAATGCACACAAATCTGTAAAATAAACACATCAAACCCCATAATGCATTTAAAGCTGTAAAACAGTGTAAAACAGGCCAAATAACAGTAAATCATCAATCACACTAGACTCGGGCTCCATTAGCAACCTTAAGCAATTTCACACATGCGTTAATTCAAGAAATACCGTTTTATCATTTTGAACTTTAATACCGTGATAGGAAATAGGGTGAGGGGTCCTTACTTGTTTTCGAGATCCGAATACGATTCACAGTGCGCCTGCAGGCTGTCCCTAATTTTTCCTGAATTTTTCTCGGGGAACTGAAACACACTAACAGTACCTGCACGTGTTCCAAAAAAATTCCAAATTAGGCCCAGGGCCTCTTTCGGCCCAAATCGCAACTCCGGCACGGCGGCTCCGCCGTGCTCCGGCGACGGCGCCGCCGCTGGCGGCGGCGAGTCACCTCGGGTTGACTGTTTTCGGCCGTTTTCGGCCGAATTCGGCCACACTCGCATTGGTCCTTGTCAGAAAACAACCCTAGGGCCCTCGGGGGGCCAAAAAATCACGGAAAAACGGAGCTTACCGGTGGCGGCGCTCTCGGGTGCAGCGGCTCTCCGGCGAGGTTCGTGTTTTGGTGATTCGGCTCCGGTCAACCTGTAGAGAAAAGAATGGTGATCACGGTGATATGAAAATTGCATCGAACGGAGGCCGGGAAGGGCCTCGTCGGAGGCAAAAACCGAGAGGGGGCGCGGCGGCGCCGCTGGGCTTCGGCCGCGTATTCCGGCCGTTTGGCCGGGATTTCGGCTTCGATTTGGCCATAGGAGGAATCAGTGGGGAAAAACGAGTCGGGGGTATGAAATTTACCTCGATCGGCGGTCGGAAATTTCCCCGGTGCGGCGGCGAGTGGTGGCGGGTGGCGGCGGTCGGCCTCTGGTTCGTCTTCTCCGGCGAGCGGCTGGCGGCTAGGGTTTTTGGTCTGGTGTGGAGGTTCTATTTATAACCCCTTGCCTTTTGATCACAGCCGTTCATTTCATTTTAATCTGGGCCGTTCGTTTTTGATTGAATCTGGGCCGTCCGTGCGTTTGAATCTGGGCCGTCCGATCGCGTGATTGATCTGGGCCGTCGGATCGCACCCACGCGGATCGCCAACGTGGCTCCTTTCGGAGTGACGCGATCTTGCCACGTGGCAGACCCTGGTTGGCCGGGACTGCTGACCGGGCCTGCTGACGTGGCTGCTGACGTGGCCCCCCCCCCTTTTTTTTTTTTTTTTTTTCCTCCTTTCCGGGTGCTACAACTCTCCCCCCCATAAAGAAATTTGGTCCCCAAATTTGCCTCATTACTCTTGATCAAACAGATGAGGATGTTGGGCCCTAAATTCTGATTCCAGCTCCCAAGTCGCCTCCCTAGGCGTGTGGTTCTGCCACAAGACTTTTACAAATGATATTTCCCGGTTACGGAGTATTCTGCTTTCTCGGTCCATGATACTGACCGGTACTTCTTCATAAGACAAGTCCTCTCGGAGTGAAAGCGGTTCATGAGCCACGACATGAGAAGGGTTCGGATTGTACTTGCGCAGCATAGATACATGAAACACATTGTGAACCCGGGAGAGCTCAGGGGGCAGTGCAAGTCTGTAGGCAGTGGTACCAATCTTGTCTAAGATTTCAAAGGGTCCAATGTATCTGGGGTTTAATTTTCCCCTTCTGCCGAACCTACTAATTCCCTTGAAGGGGGTGACTTTAAGAAACACCCGGTCACCTTTCTCAAAGGTCAGGTCTCTCCTCCGGGTATCAGCATAGCTCTTTTGCCTACTCTGAGCTGTCTGGATGTTCTTCTTGATCTTAACTATCTTGGATGTGGTTTCTTCCACCAAATCCGGGCCAAACAATCTTCTATCGCCCACTTCCTCCCAACAAATCGGTGACCTGCACGGACGACCGTATAGCGCCTCGTATGGGGCCATGCCGATGCTTGCTTGGTAACTGTTGTTGTAGGCAAACTCTATCAGGGGTAGATGGTCGTCCCAATGGCCTCCGGAGTCAAGGACACAAGCTCGGAGCATATCCTCCAGCGTACGGATTGTCCTCTCTGATTGTCCATCGGTTTGGGGGTGGAAGGCAGTACTGAGGGACTGCTTTGTTCCCATAGCTTGCTGGAAACTATTCCAAAACCGAGAAGTGAATCTGGGATCCCTGTCGGATACCACTGTTACTGGGACCCCATGCAGTCTGACTATTTCCCGGACATACATTCTTGCCAACTTGTCCAACGAATCAGTCATTCTGATGGCCAGGAAGTGGGAAGACTTAGTGAGTCGGTCAACAATTACCCATATGGCATCGTGTCCCGATCGTGCCTTGGGTAGTCCCGATACGAAGTCCATGGTGATGTGTTCCCACTTCCATTCTGGAATCGGTAAAGGCTGAAGCAACCCCCCTGGGCGTTGATGTTCTGCTTTGACCTGCTGACATACCAAGCACTTAGATACAAAGTCGGCTATATCTCTCTTCATCCCATTCCACCAGAATCGGGGTCGCATAGTTTGGTACATTTTTGTACTTCCTGGATGCATGGCGAACCTTGAACTATGGGACTCTGTCATGATGTCTCTTTTTAATTCATTGTCGTCTGGGACACACATTCTGTCCTTGAAACGAATCAATCCGTCGGCAGAGATCTGAAATTCTGAGTTCACTCCCTGTCCTGCATCCTTCTTGCGGTTTACTAGGGCGGGGTCGATTGACTGGGCTTCCTTTATTCTTTGGATTAACTCGGGTTGGACTGCTAGGTGGCTCAAACATGTGGCCCTCTTCAGATCTTGCAGTCGAACCTGCTGCGTAGCCCCAATGGACCTGCATTCCGAAACCATCAGATGGGCTAGGGTGCCTGCACTCTTCCTACTGAGGGCATCGGCTACTACGTTGCCCTTACCTGGATGGTATAGGATGTCACAATCATAGTCCTTGAGGAGTTCCATCCACCTTCTCTGACGCATGTTGAGATCCTTCTGAGTGAAGATGTGCTTCAAACTCTTATGATCGGTGTAGATCTGAAAGGTCTCTCCATACAAATAATGGCGCCAGATTTTCAAGGCGTGTATGATTGCGGCAAGCTCCAAGTCATGGGTAGGATAGTTTTTCTCATGATTCTTTA